TTTCAGTTCTTATGTCTGCGTTAAGTATATCAATATTTTCTCTTCTTCTGAGTATATAATATGGAAGAAGAGGACAAAAACCTCTTCTCGGATTAAGTGGCGTTTCAACAGAGGAGAACCTTTACTAAGAGTTTCCAACTTGATAACTAGTGTTGATGAAATCGTACCAAGGCTAGAGGGTGGAGCTTCTGCAATATCGATGTAACCACAGGATGAACCATTTCTACCCAACGGACTGGAGTGTGGTAAGTTTTAAGGTGATTTTTAACTAAAACAGAGGGATAGTTAGTCATCTCCCAGAGTTTCGGTGCCAAGTCAGGATAAAAAGTGCCCTCTCTCCCCCAAACAAGTCTTTTAAATTTTTGGCCTTATTAGGAATCAAGTCACAGTGATATTCTCCAGCTTTTTCTCAATTTAATGCCGGGTAGTCACAGCCTAACCAACATCTTTATGTTCTACTCTAAAATTTAAAGAGTGCGTTCTCCACACTGAACGTCCCATCATTTGCCTATCAAGCCACTGCCATTTTCCAAAACAAAAGAGGACAGAAATAAAACTGAAAAGGTGTATAAAACAAACATTAAAAAAAAAAAAAAAAAGGCAGACAAAAGACCAGAACCTGATGATGTGTTTGATGAGAAGGTAATGATGGAGGGGTAAAAGGTACTTTCTGGGTATGAGCTCAGGGACTGGGATAAAAGGGCAGAAAATGGCGCTGAAAGAGAAGAAAGCCCGGAACTGATTCTGCTCCTAAGCAACAGGATGGATGTAGATGAATCACTGACGGGTCCCTATCCTCATCTGTTCCCCCAGGGTTACATCAGATGACAGGCAAGTTCCCCAGAAGCTCTACTATTGAATGATTCTAGACATCGAGATTTATCTAACATGGCCAAAGTTTCATGGGTGTATAATACCAAGAGGCAGCATGGTCTTTGGTGTTTGTCTGATCTCGAATCTGAATCACCACTTATAAACTGTGAAGCATTAAATAAGACCCTTTCTGGCCTATGCTTTCTCAAATATAAAGTAAGATAAATACAATTTCATGCCCAGAGTTGCATTGAAGCTGAAATGAGGAGTGCCTATCACATCATAGTGCCTAACTCAAAATTAGTGGGTACCCTACCTCCCTCTTTCCTGAGTTAAAGTAGCAGGAAGCCCTGATGAATTATTCTTTCCTGAAGAAAGGGAAAAAATGATTTGTAATTGCATAACTGTATGAAAATATTACTTAAATGACTTCTTTACCACAGCTTCCACCAGTCTATGATAAATTTCATGTGTGAAACTTTTCTTCTTTTAGCTTATTCAGCACCTACTATGGGCTACTCCTTGTTCTAAGCAAAAGGGATACAGTAAAGAACAGCACAAGTCAGGTCCCTGCCCTCCTGAAACTTATACTCTGGTAGATATCTTCTAGAACAGTTTTTAGAAATAATGTTCTAGAGAGTACAGGCAGTAATTTCTCTGACATCAGTCACAACATTTTTCTAGATGTGTCTCCTGAGGCAATGAAAACAAAAGTGAAAATAAATTACTGGGACTTCACCAAGATAAAAAGATTCTGCCAGTAAGGGAATCAATGAAACTAAAAAAAACTTACTGAATGGCAGAAGAAATTTTTAAATGACATATCCCATGAAGGGTTAGTATCCAAATATATAAAGAACTTACACAACTGAGTGCCCAAAACCCAAATTATCCATAAAAAATGAGAAGACATGAACAGACAGTTCTCCAAAGAAGATATCCAGATGGCCAACAGACACATGAAAAGATGGGCAACATCACTCACCATCAGGAAATGCAAATCAAAACCACAATGAAGTATCACCTCACACCTGACAGAATGGTTAAAATCGAAACCACAAGAAACAAGTAGTGTTGGTGACGATGTGGAAAAAAAGGAGCCCTTACACACTGTTGGTGGGAATGCAAACTGGGACAGCCACTCGGGAAAACAGTACGGAGTTTCCTCAAAGAGTTAAAAGCAGAACTACCCTAAGATTCAGTAATTGCAATACCAGGTAATTACCCCCCAAAATACAAAAACACTAATTCAAAAGCACAAGTACACCCCTATGTTGACTGCAGCCTGATTTACAATAGCCAAATTATGGAAGCAGCCCAAGTGTCCATCGATTGATGAGTGGAGGAAGAAGATGTGGTATAGATACACAACGGAGTATTATTCAGCTATAAAAAATAACGAAATCTTGCCATTTGCAAGGATGCACATGGATATAGAGTACAATGCTAAGCAAATAAGTCAGAGAAAGACAAATACCATAGGGTTTCACCCATATGTGCAATTTAAGAAACAAAACAAAGGGAAGAAAAAGAGGCAAACCAAGAAACAGACTCCTGACTATAGAAAACAAACTGGTCACCAGAGAGGAGGGGAGGGAGGAATGGGGGAAGGGGATTAAGAGCACACTCGTGATGAGTACCGAAGCATATACAGAATTGCTAAATCACTAGATTATTTTCCAGAAACTAATATAACTCTGTATGTTAACTACACTGGAATTAAAATTTAAAAAAAGGAGAGTCACGCTCTAGAAAGTGTCTTCCATTTGGGAGCCACCTTTGCACACCGTGGTGGGCTTTACCTAGTGCTGTGAAATAGAGAACTCACTCAGGCTAATCCCATGTTTAATTCATTATATATCTTCATTTTTGATATAGAAACAAAGGACAGAATGTTTATCTACTTGAAATGTTTTTAACCGCCATTTTTCAAGGTAAAAGCCTGAGCCGAACTTACAACCTTCATTACATATCACCAGATGAGAAAAATGTAAAAAGGTCAATTATCCACTGGTCCAAGTCAAAGAAGAAGGGGTCTTTCTGAATCATGTCCCCACTTCGTTCTATTTATTCCAAACTCTGCAATGATTTCCATATGCACCCAGCCCTACCACCACCCATTGCCTAGTCCCTCTCTCATTCTTTCCTCCTCATTCATTAGGCTGCAGTTTCTCTCACCCACTGGAGAGAACCAGAATGGACTGTGGACTTATGTGTACATGCATGCGTATATGCATGTGTGTGTGTCTAGTCTCTGTGAGTTTCCTACTAGCATCGTAATTCTTGACTCTGGCTGATACTGAAAGCTTTTAAGGAACATCTTAATTTTCAAAGCTACTGAGGCTGAGATAGTTGGTCTGGGTTATGGCCTGGAAACTGGGATTTTTACAAGTTCTCATAGGAAGTTCTAATGTGCAACCCAGGTTGAGAACCACAATGGTCAAGCATGGGGACTTCTTTAATTCCTTTTCTTTTCCATGCTCAATTTATGCTGAATAATTTGGTTCTCTGACTGCCTTAAAAATAAATTAATTTGAAAACTGTGTATCTCTGAGTTCTTCCAGTTTTGGAAATGTGTCACTGGATAGACATGGCTACTAATTTTCATTAGATCTGAGCAGTTGTTTCCAGACAAGTAATACTTATAAAGTGGGCACACACTCATATACTGACCCCAGTCCCACTTCTTACCTTCCAAACACACACTGGAACCGGCACATTTCCATGATCTGGAAAGGGCAGACTGAATCCTAGATGTGCCATCGGCAGGTGTGGCCTGCATCTGGCCACCCCTACCACTGCGGGCAACAGTGTCCAATCCACCAGAGATGGAAGCGCTAGGTCTGTGAAGTTAGACCTCTCTGATGATCAGTAACAAGCCAGCCAATCCTCCTAATTCCTGGAGGATTTTTTTTTTTTTTCCTATTTTCATTTCCCGTGGGCTTCATGTTCAGTTCCTCTGAGTTTCTCCTTATATTTAATCTGGCCAGTATGAGTTTTAGAGCGCAAATATAAGCACAAACCAGGGAGATATTTTAGAGTTCCTGAGACCTGCCATATTATTTGCAAGAGCTGCCTTACCCTGTACCACAGAGTGGATGGCTTCAACAAGAGAAATGTATTTTCTCAGAGTTCTAGAGGCTAGAAGTTTAAGATCAATTGTCAGCAACTGATTTATTCTGAGGTGTGTCCCCTTGGCTTGTAGATGGCCATCTTCTTGCTATGTCTTCACATGGTCTTCCCTCCACATGTATCTGTGTCCTAATCTCCTTTCTTCACATGCCAGTCAAATTGGACTGGGGCCCACTCATATGACTTCGTTCCACTTTAATGAACTCTTTAAAAGTCTTATCTCCAAACACAGTCACATTCTAAGGTACTGAGGGTTAGACCTCGAACATCTGAATGGGGGAGGGGGGAAGGGTACACCATTCAGCCCATAACACCCATGAAATAAGAGTGTAATACCTCCTTGTCTTCCCTCAGCTGGGATCCTATTTCTATGAAACCATAGCCATGATATTTGTTTTTGGTTCCCTTTCTCTGGCATGAGAGCAGAGTGTAACTTTCTGGGAATAAATAGAAAGACAGCTCTACATAATTTGAAAATTTCTCGGTGAATGTACTTAGTAAAAAGCTAACTTAAAAAAAATATATATATATAGAGAGAGAGAGAGACACTGAAAGAAGTGAAGGAAATACAGGACCTATCAATTTTTGCAGTGGACATGGGAAAAATGTAAAAAACAATGTACCTGACTTCATGAAAACTATGTTCGTTGGATAATCTAGGAGAGACCTGATTTTAGATTTTCTGCCTCACGGTCTTCATGAATTTGTTCATACTTGTCAGGATGCAGTCCCAGTTTAGGGCTTGGAATATACAGTCACCACACAGCAACTGTCTTAATTGGCTTATTCTGCTAAGTTGTTTATTTGTGCGAGGAGGCTGTTCCAATCCCCGCCCCCACGGCCCATCTGTCGCAGAGGACTCTAATCTGGACTCGTCAATTGCCTGCTGAAAAGCACTGGTGTGATGTTCAACATACAGGGCTTGCTCAGTCTTTTTCTTGAGGTGATTCACCTAAGGTTTCCTTCCAGAAAACTCGAGTTTCCCTACCTGAAAATCCCATGTGAGTCCATCAACACATGCACGTGAAAACTGCGGTGCAATGACAGGAACCTACCTTGAGGTTTGGGCTTAGTCAGCTTGCCACAGGGCTTGGAGATGGTGACTGTCTTCTGGCAGTCCGCGTTGTGGAGGGCTCGCTTCAGACTTCCGGTTCTCGTCTTCAAGGCGGTATTCAGGTCGCATTCTCCCCAGGCCTGGAACTGGTATTTGCACTCCGCTAAAGGCAGGGTAGGACCAAACAGAAATCTTTGAGTTCCTCTAGTAGTGCTGTAAAGGTGGACGCACTTCTGTTTTTACCTTTTTGTAGTGAGATCATTGTAGAGTCCCATGCGGTTGAAAGAAATACTTTGGAGAGACCCCTATAGCCTTCGCCCTGTCTCCCCTCGATTGTGATTATGTTGCATAACCAGAATTCCTGAGCACAACCAGGAAATGAACAGGGATACATCCCGCAGAAGTCATTCAAGTTCTTCCAATTTCACACGCACTCATTTGTGTGTACGCGTGCGCATTTAGTTCTGTGTGATGCGGTCAGGTCTGTAGATATGAGTGAACATCTACACGTTGACAGGCAGAAGAGTTCCAACACAACATGGGACTCTACAGTCCTTTGGGTTAATCCTGTCATAGCCTTTGCCTAGGCACCTTCCTCCCTTGCCATCTCCTTACGCCATGGCAATCACCCATCTCTTCTCCATCTCTGTAATTTTTGTCATTTTAAGCTATCTACTATTTGTGTACAAATTTTTAGAGGAATGTAAGTTTTCATTTCCCTAGGATAAATGGCCAAGAGTGAAACCACTGTGTGGTATGGTAAACAGATGTTTATTCTTATTAAAAACAAAACCAAACCTGCCATTCTCCTTTCTAATGTGGCTGTACCATTTTACATTTCCATCAGCAAGGTATGAAGGACCTAGTTTCTCTACCTCCTCTCTAGCATTTGGTCTTATTTGTCATTTTTAGCTCTTCTGGTATGTGGTATACGGTGATATCTCACTGGTTTTCATTCCCGTTTCCCTAGCGCGGAAGAGATAGATGTTCAACATCTTTCAAGTGTTTGTCACCTGTATCTCGTCTATGGTAAAATATTTGTCCATGTCTTTTACTCACTGTATAACTGGATTCTTATTTTTGTGAGTTCTTTATATATTCTAGGCATTCATTCTTTAAGACACACTTTTAAAAACTTTTTGTAGGTGAGTCTTTAGGGAACCCATATACAATTTAAGACCAAATGTATCTGAATTTCACCATGTGCTATAGAACTTACCAGCATTCACAAAAAGTACCCCAGAGGTTATAGAGAATGAGAAAGATACAGTGTGTATACTTGTTGTCCTTCTTTACTGTCTTATAGGTCAGAATACATTTCTGCAAAGAGTGAGAACATTTGGGGCACTGCGTACCACCAAGGCCAAGAAAGACAAAAAGTCTGGAATGTGGAAAAGACAGGTAATCTGGGTGTTCAGTAGTGGGTTTCAAAGTTGGAAGTGTTGAAGATTTCCTTCCCAAACAGGCCGAGGAGGCCAGCAGGAAAATCACAATAATTAGCGAGAGTAAAGTCTATGGAAACTGACTGTAAGCAGCCTGGCTAGATTTGATAAGCAAATCTATTAACCAGGGTGGATGGTGGGGAAAGATCAAAAGAGTGGGGCACTGAAAGCCCCAGAAAGATGTCTGGAGAAGGAAGAGGAGAATAAATAAGAGAAGGGGGAAGCAAGAAAAAAGGAATGAGAACTAGAAGAAGGAGAGGAGAAAAGACAGGTCAATGCACACTCAGGAGGGATCAAGGGTATGTTTTATGTCCCGATCGGTAGGACAGTGGTTCTCAATCTAGGACTATTTTGACCCCAAGGATCATCTGGCAATATCTGGAGACATTTTTATGTGTCACAGTTGATGGGGGCAGAGAGTACTACTGGAAACCAGTGGAGAGAAGCCAGAGACCCTGCTCGATATCCTACAGTGCCCTCCCCAACAGACGCATCATGGCCCCAAATGGTAGTAGCACCAAAGTTGAGAAACCTGGGGGGTAAGGCAAGGTATCTGGTTATTTGCGATCTGGTAAAATCAACTTATTTAAAATAAAGGGTAGTCAAGCTCAAAAAGAGGACTGGTAGAAGAATGCAAGCATTATCCCGGAGTGGAAGATTAAATCGACAGGACAGTAGTGGTGGGGCTTACCTCCAAACTGCTTTTTCCAGTTGCAGGGGATCTTACATCTCTGGGTCTTCATGGTTTGCTTACACTCGGCTCCGGTCCGGGTGCCCTCCCGGGTGCCCAGGCCACAGTCCCCACTGGTGGGCACGCACACACTCCACTGCCACTCCCCACAGTCGGACTTCTTCACTTTCTTTTCTGGAAAGAAGAAAGGAACACGAGTCCACCTCTGGGAAACTCTGATTCCTACAACAAAGTTCATTCCAGGATGCCGTAATTGCGAGGTCTGTGCTTTTGACCTCTGTCTTCACTGTCCAGTGAACCGGAGCACCTTGACCCACGTTAGCCAAGTGATCGAATCGGTGAATGATCACGAGAAGGGAGAAGGTGAATGGAAGGAGATAGAACTCATATTAGTGTAACTCCAGGGGCTAGGGACTGCACAAAGGATCTAATGACATCTCCTTTTAGAAGCAAACACTTCTGGTAAAGATGTTCAAAACCAGTGAAACATGAAAGATAAGGCGACATTCTTTTAGAAGTAAGGGTTGTCAGATTAGCATTTCATTGCAAGTCAATGTTCCCTTCTCTGTCTTAGAGCTGGAAGACCATAAGCTGAATGTCATGCCTCACAGACATAAACAGACTGCCAGCTCCGCAGCCTGCCGCGTATGACGCTGGGAGTGACAGAGAGAAGATGCGGTATCACTCCGAGCTTCAGTTTCCCCCTTTGTTCATATGAGATAAAACAAAAATGCCCTGCAGGACTCTTTTTTGAGGAAGAGACTTAGCGTAAGACACCTGCTTGCTCATCAGCAGTCCGTACATAAGGGCTACAATACGGTCACTATGTTAATAACCATCAGCTATATTTTAGGACCTATGGCAGGGTGGGGACGGGGGATGTCACTTAGGTTCCTCTAAAGAAAGAACAAAGGGAGGGAGAGGGGGAGGGAAGGAAGAAAGAAGGAAAAAAGGAAGGAGGGGAGGAGGACAAAAATCAGGCAGTTGGATTAGATGGACATTAATCCATGAACAGTCTTGCCTTATGTATGTCACATGTAGGGTTATGTAGTCATAACTCTACAGCTTACCTGGCTTCTCTTTCTTCCCTGCTTCAGCAGTGTCCACAGTTGCCAAGATGAAAATGAATGCCAGGAAGGCAGCTGCAAATTTTCGACGCTGTTGCACATACTGCTGGGACTGCATTCTAGGAATAAACAGAGAAACAGAAGGTGGTGTCAGCCTAAAAGAGGAAGGCTGGTGGAACTCCTTAATGAAGGGCGCCATGTTCCATTTCTGGAATAGATTTTCAGAAGATTTCTATCAGTGCTCTTGAGCAGAATTCTTTCTTTGCTCTCCCACGGCCACTGAAGTAAGTGTTCTTCTGCAATTAGGTATTCACTGACAAAAATACAATGGTTCTCCACTTAAGAACTTCACCCATAATTACTTGCTTAAGTATGACTCGAGAATTATGGAAGCAAAAGAATTTTCATGGCATAATTCTGAGCGGACTCCTGCGGTTCATCTTGCTGGTGGGGATACATGGTAAGGTCCTTAACTATGGTCATCTTTGTAACTCCTGATAATTCCTAGAAACAACCTCGGTTTTGTAGTTCACATGGATAATTTGAATGGACACAGTTAATGGATTATCTGTGCCAGTATATGGTTTACCTTTATCTTTACATGTGTCATAATAACCAACATCTCTGACTTTGTTTTTCATGATTAAGATTATTTTATCATCACTGTTCCATTATTCACTGGTCCACCAAGAGGGAAGTGCAAGACAGAAGTTGGGCTAGCACACTTTGATTTATGTCAAATACATGGATAAGCTCACATAAAATCTAAAAATCTTCTCAATTCTAGGATAATAAAGAGATTACACTCACTCATAATTTGAAATTCTCCACATTTGCTATGAGCCAAAAATCCTAGAATAACACTAGAAAGACTCTCCTGGAACTTGAAGTCACTTGTGACAACTAATTGTCAGCATGGTTACCCATGGTCATTAGCTCTGAGGATTTTTTTTTTCCCCAGAAGAGCGATTTTAGATTCCCTTGAGTGTGAACAATAAAACCTCATGCACACACATGCACGCACACACACACAGAATTGAGATTATTCTGTTCTACAATTTATTATAGAACAAAGTGTACTACAATGTGTACATTGTCCTCTGAGGATTCAAAAGTTCCCACTGAGAAAGCACAGCTCATGAGTAAACTTTCCAACCACACAATGGGCTGATCTTTGTAGAGCCTTGTAATGCCCTTGGAGCCGCGTGAAAAACCACTGTCACTCAGGCAAACAGGTATTAGTAGAAAGCTGTTGTCACTACTTCTAACCTCAGCATTTCTAGTTTTACACTGTTAAGTTCCTACTTTTATATTTATTTTCAAAAAGGTTTCAAGTTAAATTCACTGAATTCTGAGGAGAAAAACCCGACCCAGACCAGAATTTCCTAAGGATACCCTTGTTTTGAGTCAAGGGGTTATTTTGCCATAGTGTGAGCTAACAGGAAGGAAGAAGAGAGAGGAAGTGGATGACAGCTGGAGAGTTGGAATGGAAACGCACCCTCTCTGCTTCTGATATGAATTCGCAACAATTCAGAGCCTGAAGAAGTGGGTGAATGGTAGACTTTAGTTTGAGACGCACTAAGGAAAAATGCACCCAAGTCCCTGTGCACAGGAATTCGCCCGTGTAAAAGGAGCTACCAGCAATGGGGTTGAATTGGAGACCATCTTTCTTTTCATCTCCTTCTCCCCTTCCTCCTACTTTGCTTACTATTCTGCATGGGCCTATATTTTGGTAGCTTCCATTTTTCTGGCTGGAGAAAATGAATAAAGATTATTTAAGAGAGTAAGGGGTTTTAGAAAAGGGAGGACTAGAATCATCCCCAAATTCAAGTGTTCCCAAACAGTGCCCAATGTGCACGTTGACGCCTGCTGCTATAGGAAATACTTGAGTCGTTAGCACACGTGTAGCTCATGGGTCCCCTTTTGTGGTATTTGCATCGCTGATTGTTTATTTGTCCTTAACATCAAGTAAAGGCAAAAGTTCTCTCTGCAAACAATTTAACCCAGTCTGCTCTCCAGGGGTGTGTGAGATGAACGGACGCAAGGACCTGGATCATGGCGAATTGTTGGCACTGAGGGAAATAAAACAATGGAAGAAGTCTTGCTAAATCAGCTATTCTTTTGAATGATTTCCTTATTTTCACCTCCTCTTACCGCCATTTTTTGTTGCACTTGCCATGATAGATTTAGTTTCATGGGGTTGAACCGTCAACTGGAAAACTGCCATAGATTGTGGTGTGTGGAAACTCCTGTTGAGTTCATCTCCATCACTAATAAGTCTAAAGCTCAGAGATCAAAGGAAATTAAAGTTTAAGAAACCAACTCAAAGGAGAAGAGTTAGTTTACAAAATCCTCATCCCTTCCCTAGAGAAAAAGCTGCTGAGAAGGAAAAAGAGAGCTCTCCTTCCTTTAGCATTTTAACAGATCTAGAATTTTAAGAGGCGATCAAACTCTGGTGTAAGCACAAGACAAGAATCCTGGAATCGAACTGGCCCCTTAGCAATCTGTTTGGAAGGACGACCATGGGACCGGGAGGCAGAAATGTTGGCTCAAACTTTAGCCTGACCACCTAATTTGGGGGATGTCCTCAGGCAAATCACAACCACTGGAACTTCTCTTTTGACATCTGCAAAGTGGGAGTGATTATAGCAACTGCTTGAGAGGCTTGCTGTGAAAATGAAGATGTAGACAGAGAGCCAACCCAGAATCTTAAGAAATGTATTATTAATTGCTGAATAAAGTTAATTCACCCTTACACTCTGATTACTTAGTACAAGGAAATACTTCTCTTCAATTTTTTAAATTGAGGTATATTGACACATAGCATTATATTAGTTTCAGGTGTACAACATACTGATTGAATATTTGTATTGCAAAACGATAATATTGCTTTCTATTAAGAAATAACAAGCATCACGCTTTGAACTAGCTAATATTATTTAAAAGCAAAACACAAAAGAATGAAACAAAAGAGAGAGAGAGAGAGAGAGAGAGGATTGATTGTCCACTGAAGACTTGTTCAGCCTCATTGGAGCACAAATTCATTCTGACCTTGGACTTCCTAGGTTAAAATAAACTCAAGGACCTTTATCCCCAGTATTTTTTTTTTGAAGTTCAGGGAAGTTGAGAGGTTCCACGTTGAGACTCAGGGAACATGCCAATGCAATTTAACTTGTATGAAATGGGGGAAAACAAAAATCTCCTGTTGCAACTGTATTTTATGCCCTCTGCATGCAGAAACCATGCCAGTCGCCTCTTTTTGTTTTAAATACCTAGGTCCGGGCCCCAGCCCAGAATAGCTGCTCGGTCAACTTTTTGCTAGTGAAAAATATCTCCAAAACACAGCATCAAGCACAGGAATTAGTATGCATGCTCAACTGATTTTTCCATCCTTTGTCTATGCCAGGGGACATGAAATTTACTGAAGAAGCTGGGCTGGAGACAACAGCCAGAATCTAAAGCAGACATACACAGTCAGTGTCCACAAGCGTACATACTGCATCATCAGTGAATGACCTGCACCATGTATTACACATCACTAGAACTTTCTAGACTTTTTTGTGCTCTCTTTGCCCAAACTCCTGGGAAATAGTTTTACTTTTATTGTAAAATAAAACATGATGTATAGAAAACCACAAAAAGCAAACACACAACTTAGTGAATTATAAGATGAATTAATTTTCCGCTCATATCCAAAGGCTTTACCATGTTCCCCATCGCCATTAGAGCCCTGGAGCTCCAACACTAATAGGCCGCAATTCCTTCTTTGCACTTCCTGAGGCTTTTATTCGAGTGTGCTTCTTTAGACATGTCTAATTTTAAAAAAGGATATCTTTTACATTTCTTTTATTATGTAGGATTATCCTCCAGCCCCCCTTTTTTCTTTGTTTTCCTGCTTTTCACTTTTTACAAGAACCAGGCCATTTAATCAGCAGTGGGCCACATTCTGGATTTGGATGATTGCAAATTCAAGATGAATTTCAACATTCCTTTGTTCCGCTGCAAACTGGCAGCTGGGAGCAGAGGCTTAATCAGACTCAGGTGTTACCCTTTGGCGAGACTGTAAGTGGCACCGTGCTATTTCACCAGGAGCTGCACAGTCTTTCTTTGGCTCTTCTGTGATGGGAACAGCAATGGGTACTAATCAGTGATTACTGGTGGGCTGGTATGGACTGAATATTTGTACCCCCCCCCAACTCATATGTTGAAGCCATACCCCTCCTCATCTGCATGGTACTAGGAGGTGGGACCTTTGGGAGGGAATTAGGATCCAACGAGGTCATATGGGTAGGGCCCTCCTGAATGGGCTCCGTGCCCTTATGAGAATCCTAGGAGAGTTTTCTTTCTGTCTCTGCTCTCTGCCATGTGAGGATACAATGGCAAGCTAGCAGCCTATGACCCAGAACCCAACGATCCTGATACCCTGATCTCGGACTTTGAGCCTCCAGAACTGTAAGAAATGATAATAAAAGTAATAAAAATCTACCCTGAGTGCTGCTTTAAACCTTGTCCCTTGGTTGTAGTTTTGTTATCAATCTACCCCCACCATCTGTATTTATGTGAGGATTCAGGAAGATTCCAAAAATATCCTAATACTTCCTTCCTCCCCACATGAGCACATTCTTTCATTAAACATTTTTAGGACACCTACCGTATGCCAGCCATGGAGCTATACTCTCAGGATACAACAATGACCAGTGAGAAGTTTTTGTTTGTTCTCACGAAGCTTACACCCCAATAAAGTTGACACTGTCAAATAGCCAATAACGGTTCACTGTATTCTGGTAAGAACTACAGAATGTCATGATGTATGAGGGAAGGACCACCATTTTGCATTTCTCTTTCTTGAGGGCAAACCAAAGGCAGGGATTCAGTTCAGGCCAAAGATTTAATTTCCTTTAAGTTTCCTACAAAGCAAACGAAGCCACTGACGGTCAGAAACTCTGTTACAGAGCATGAACTATGACTCATGTTCTAGATGACCGCAGTCATAGACTTAAATGTCTGTGTTCTCTTATTTCTCAGACGTGACTTTAATTTAGTTTGAGGGAGATCGGTCAGCTTGTATTATTAGGAAAGTACTCACTTGGTTAACAAGCATTTATTGTACTATATGCGA